CTAACCCCTTGGCCCCAGGCCTATTACGAGAGACAGGCAAGGACTATGTGAGGGAAGGGAGGGGCAGTCAAGTGGCTGGTTCCGCGGGTGGTGATGGAGCTCCAGGGGGAGTCATTAGCGTGTTGGTAACACATTCATGTGTGTAGTCACACAAGACTCATTCTGGAAACAAGGCCGCCTTTGGTCTACTGGCAAGAGAGGACTCAATCCCATCACCCCAGCTCCACCTCAGTTTTTTCTTCAAACATGACAAACAATGGGCTTAAATCTTTCCAACCTCTATTGTCAAATTTTGACCATTATAAGGATCTATCTATCTATATCTATCTATCTATCTATCTATCTATCTATCTATCTAATTTATCTATCTATCTATCACTGTCACAAAGCTAGGAAAAAAAAATTGGATTTCAAGTGGTAACCCTCATGCTCACTGTAGGAGGTGAGGAGAAGTAAAAGATCGAAGACAGGATCATTTCTAGTAACAATGCTGCTATTTTTTCGAATGCAGCTTTATTTAATTATTACCTCTGCTCATTAGGTGACCAAGGTTTGATCCACATGTGCACTACTCCCTGAATTTGATGTAATTACTATATATCAGAAACATACACTCATAATCATTAATCAAACATAAAAAGAAAGAAATAGAACTTACGTATGGAAAAGACTAGTATGTACATTGTGAAAAATGTCTAATAATTAATAGTTTGAGAGAGAATACAGACAAGACTAATGCATACTAAACCCAGAAGGTAAGTGAGAGGAGCCTTTGTGTTGTGCATTGAATTTTGCTCAAGAAAATTATGAATACACATGGGAGTGGAATTTAGAGTAAAGTCAAATCAGAACCAGAATAAATATATGACTAAGAGGCAGAAGCTCACACTCCTGAAAAAAGAAATTAGAAATGTTATAGGAACTCTGGTACCTCTAATACAGTTCAAGCAAATGCTCACTCAATTTTATGTAATAACTCCTGCACCCTAGGAATCTCCAGGTTACCTGATATGAGATAGTGACCCAGATGCTCGCCCCTGCCCTCCTAACACTTACATCCTAGCAGGAAGATAAGGACATTTGATGGAATAATGTGAAAAGTACTGTAGAGAAGAATGAAGCAGGGCAAAGTTTAGGATGAATTTAGGGATTTACAATTTTTAAAAGGATGATGAGGGGATGTCTGGCGATCTCTCAACAGGAGATGGTGGCCACTGTATTGGGTGTGATTTCTGTGTGGAGAATACATAATGGAACTGTGGGAGACCAACAGAACAGAAAGGATGCTTTGGCTCTAAGTATGTAGAGACATTGGAGGGTCATGAGGAGAGGACTGACATGGTCTGACTTACAGACAGCATAGAGGACAGTCCCCCAATATGGCCAGGTCGACCAGCACTCCCACCAATGAGACTGAGCCACATGGTGATTAATGTGTTCATCATCATTGTCATCATCATTTTTGGTGGTGCTGGGGTTCAACCCCATGGCCTCACACACGCTAGGCAAGTGCTATACTAGTGAATTGCATCTCAATCATGGAAAGTATTTTTTCCAAGCATAATTCAGTTTTATTTCTCAAAAAGAAATAAAACTCTCGTAGGTTCTAGGAAATTTCTATCACTTTCTTCTCTCCTTCCTTCTCTTAAGGTAATCCCTATTCTAGAGTTGTATTATTTTTAGGATGATTTAAAAAAGTTATTGTGGAGATTCACCTGGCTAAGTAGAGGAGGAATCACACTGAAGCTATTCAGAGAAAATCAACTAAAAACACAGGTCACTGAAAGAAAGGGAGGGACATACATCCTAAAGTCAAAATTAATCAGAAATAAGAGACTTGTAGGTAAAAGAAAAACATAGATATAAGATTTAATAAGACAACCCTCCAGCCCACAGGCCTGCCGGTGACTCACCTGCCCACAGGCAGAGCAGGAATGCCATAGTGGAAAGTTTAAAAATAACAAAGTCATTGTTTACTGAATACTTAACATACTATATATGAGCTGTAGTCAACAACATTTGCAAGTTTTATTTTTATCAGACTTATCAATGTGTTACTGACATATCATAAAAGGACCTTGGCAGATTTAAAGTGCATGATTGATGAATGGTGACGAATTTATTCACTTCCGAGGCTAATTCCCAAGTCAGGACAGAGAATTATCTTCTTCCCGCTCTGTTTCCTTGTAGGTTGTTAATCAGAGTGTAAGGAGAGTGAGGGGAGATAGCTTATTGATAAGTATCTCTTTTCCACATTTCTTTCTTAAACATAGCTTTGCTGGTCTCAGACTCAGGGGATGAAGGTGATTTTCTTTTTCTACTCTTTTATTTTGTTTCTATAATTTATTTTCAGTGTTGTGACTGAAGTTTCTTTCTTTCAAATTTATATATATATATTAATATGGAAAATATTTTACTTCTGTAAGACATTATCAGAAACTTCAGAAATAGGCATTTGTTTCCACTGCTACTCTTGAAGTATCTGATGCCAATGTAAGGATCGTTCCTTAATCTTTTCTCTCCACTTTAAAATGGATAAAAGTTACCTCACATAGTTATCTTTACTGATGCTCTTTAATTGTCCATATTGATTTAAATTACTGTCTTGTTTTATTTCTTCTTAGCCACAAAAGTTGCCTTTAGTATTCCTTGGAGAGCAGAATAAATAGCTACATGTACATTCTCCTCTTTGTTCATCTGGGGGTGTCTTGATTTCTCCTGCGTTTTGCTGGGCATGAAACTCTTGCTTGAATCTTTTTCCCCACAAGTGGAATGTGTCACCTTGTTGCTTCCTGGGCTCTAGATTTCTACTGAGAGAGCAGTTCCGTTTAGTCACGTCTTCATATTTATTTTGTGGGATTATTGCAGAAACTTCTGAATTGGTCTCTTTATTTCTGTTTTAATCCCTCTTCAGTCTATTCAGAATGGCAGCCCTGCAGTGTTGTTAAAAATACGTGTTATTATTTTGCTGTACAACCCTCCAAATACTTTCCATCTTACTTAGTGTGAACGTCAAAGCTCTCCAGTGGTATGCATTATGGATGGCAACGACTCAGTCTCAGGCCCCAGTCTCTGTCAGATCTCAGCTCTCTCCTCCCAGGTTGTCTCACTCTTTTACAGTAGCTCCCTTGCACCAGCAGGGCTTTTGCATACCTGCTTTATGGACTGAGATGTATACAGGATATCAATGTTTTTTGTGGTCACAAGTATTTTAAGATCTAGATTCCACTTGCAGAAATGAGAAAGATCCTCCCAGCACAAATAATAATATAATAGAAATAATAAATGTAACTAAACAAAGAGCATGTTGTTCTACTGAATAATACCTGTCACTTCACTTCAGCATCTTCCAATACATATGTATAGTCTGAAGCAGCTCCACAGTTTTATCGCATATAGGGAGTCATTTCATCAAAGGATAAACCGAAATTTTGTCTCCCTCCTACTTCTCTTTCCTAAATGTTGCTGCTTCTTTTTTTCTTTCTCTTCCTCCCTCCCTCTGCTTCTTCCTTCCTTCTTTCCTTCCTTCCTTCTTTCCTTCCTTCCTTCCTTCCTTCCTTCCTTCCTTCCTTCCTTCCTTCCTTCCTCCTTCCTTCCTTCCTCACTGCCTTCCTTCATTTCTTTCATCTCACAATGTTACTCAGGCTGGCCCGAAACTCCTAGGGTCAAGTTATCTTCCTGCCTTGGTGTCCTGGGTCACTGAGAATACAAGTGCATGCTACAGCACCATTTTTCCTTAAACATATCCTCCAATGGTTTGAAGAGCAGAGATAAGAGGCAACATTTATTCACTGGATTTTAAAAATTCAACAAGGTTTTAATAGCGTACTGCATTCCAGTTGTGCCGAGGCTGGGGATATAATGCAAATAGTGTTCCCAGTGGGGGAGAGGTTGAAGAGGAAATTTGCAAGAGGGTTCCAAATCCTGTGCCACAGCTAAGGACAGGGTGCTGAAGAAACCATGGTGGTCAGTGGACCCGGGGCTTGGAAAAGGGGAGGCAGGGTCTTGCTAAGGTTGTACATCGTAATGGGTGAGGTACATGTTATAACTCGAGCAGCATTAACTCTAAGGTATCTGCTCTGGAATGTGAGATTTAGAAATAACAATTTTCAGGTGAGAACAATTTAATTTATCACTTTGAAGAATCAGAAGAACTAATTTGGATAGGAGTACATGAAAGACATTATAGAATCCCAAAGCCCATGGTGCCTTATGCTTCTAATCCACATGGCTGCTCCCTTCCCGGGAAGAGTGCAGGCTTATGGTGGGACTGTCTGAGTTTATTTTGATTTAGTTTCCTTTATTTCTTCCAAAGATGTGTTGGAAAAGGACTGTATACCTCTCCTGCCAACAAATTTATTCTTTACTTTGCTTCTGTAACATGAAAGATCATTTTATTTTATGATATACTGATCAGAATCTCTAAAAGTCATTTGTAGCCGGGTGTGGTGACACACACCTGTAATCTCAGCACTCGGGAAGCTGAGGCAGGAGGATCGTTGCATGTTTGAGACCAGCCTGGGCTACAAAGTGAGCTCAAGACCAGCCTGAACTGCACAGCAAGACCCTGTCTCAGAAAGACCAAAAAAAAAAAGTCATTTGTTTCTTAGAATAAATAGAAAGATTAATTAGGAATCATTGGTGAATAGAGTGAATAGAGTTTATTTGTTGTGCAAACACTTTTAAAAGAGGTGACTGGGGGAACTACTGGCCCATTGTGTCCGAAGGTCCAAGTCTTTTCCTGAGTCTCCGCATGGCCGACTTCATCTCCTGGTTCCTCAGGGTGTAGATCAGGGGGTTGAGCAGAGGGGAGATGACCGTGAAGGTGACGTGGATGGGCTTATCCGTGGGGAGGGCGGTGAAGGGCCGGGCATAGACGTAGATGCAGGGCACAAAGTGCAGGGTCACCACGGTGATGTGGGAGGTGCAGGTGGAGATGGCTTTCCTCCTGCCCTCACCTGTTTGAGCTCTTATTAATAAAAATATGACCAAGTAGGACACCAGGAGCAAGAAAAACCACAGTGTGGTGAGCAGCCCATTGTTGGAAATCATCAGCATTTCAAGAACAAAAATGTCTGTAGAGGCGAGTTGGAGGACCTGCTGGACATCGCAGTAGAAAGTGTCGAGAATGTTGGGCCCACAGAAGGGGAGTGGGAGCAAGAGGGCGATCTGCACGATGGAGTGGACAAAACCTGCTAACCAGGAGGCCGCTATTAACCCAGTGCAAACACCTCTGCTCATGATGGTCACGTAGTGCAGGGGCCTGGAGATGGCCACGTAGCGGTCAAAGGCCATCAGTGACAGAGAAGACACATCCACACCTCCGATGAGGTGGAAGAAAAACATCTGAGTGAGGCAGCCATTGAAGGAGATGGTCTTTGTGTCAGAGAGAAGGTCCACCAGCACCTTGGGAGCTGTGATGGAGGAGAAGCAGATGTCGGCAATAGACAAGTTACGGAGCAGGAAGTACATGGGGGTGTGGAGGCGAGCCTCCCAGGTCACCGTGAGCATGATGAAGAGGTTTCCCAGCAGGGTTGACACGTACAGCAGAAGCAGGAGAAGAAACAGGAACCAGCTCAGTTCTTGATCTGTGGTTAGGCCAAGGAAAATAAATTCTCTAACCCTGGTGCAGTTTTTCATATCTTTGGAAGCATCGTCTCTCTTGCTGTTTGTTTCCAAACTGTGTGATCTGAAAGCACAGGTGCTTGTATTTTTTTGTTCCCCTCAGCCTCTGAAATGGAGTTGAGATGGTCCAACAGGGAGGCACAGCAGTTTCAATTTGTAGATCATCCACATTTGTAAGTTGGCCCTCAGTTTGGCCATCGGATGAAATTATCCCATGCAAAATTATTCAGTAATTATTGGCTAATGAAAGTATGTTGATAAAGAATATATTTAAGTAGATCTTTCTACTTCAAAAGTATAATTTAGATAATATATATATATTATAAGGCTTAACACTTCTTGTGAATGGTTTTATTATGAAGAAGTGGTCTTTATTTCTTCTTTCAGCTGCAGAATTGATAACCAAAATGATGAGCCCACTTTCCCAAACTCACCACAGTAGGAAGTTGTGGAAGTGAGTTTCAGATTTGATCGTGTTCAGCTCTCAGGCCCACGTTCCATTTGCTACCGCATACACTCCTTGGTGAACAGTGCAACGGATCAGAAGTATTTCATCATCTCAATTTTACAGTAAAAGCCCCTAAGGAACAATCATGGATGAGCTCCCAGATGCTGTTGTTATTAGCACTGGTTCAGCCCAACGCCTCACATACCTGCAGCACCTTCACTGACCTGTGCAGCTGGCAGTCAAGTTAGTAACATGAACCAGACGTGCTAATGTTAGACTTGATTGCATTCCTGACCCTGCCTTTATCAGGAAGGAACAATGCATTCTTTTCTTTTCTTTTTTTTATTTTAAAGAGAGTAAAAAATGATTTAAAAAACTATTAGAAATTATACAGAACTTCAAAAAGCAAGATGATATGAATTCAACAATGGTTGTTGTATTGCATATTGTTGTCTTCTAAATAGTTGTTCAGATTACCAGGTACAAGCATGCAAAATTGGTCATGAAAATTAAGCATTGACTGTTCCTTTCAATAAACCAGTAGAAATCAGTAGTACAATTATCTTAGCTACCTTAAAGAAAACATTCATTTAATCACTTGAGTCCCTTCGTCTTTCAGCTTGTATTCTGTGATTTTTATAGTATTGCCAGGATCAGGCTAGTGCTAGCAATGTATGCACAAGTATAGCAAAGTTCTTACTCTGGAGTAATTTTTAGCCTGTTGGAAAATACAAATATTAAAGTATATAAGCACACATGTGATACAATGCTGGTGCCAACAGAACAGAGCTGTATGTAGAGGTCCTAGGAAAGTCTCCTTGGAGAGGACAAAAGTTTCATTTAGCCTTGATGAATTTCCAAGAAATAGAAGCAAGACTAATTCACACCAAGGAAAGTATTTAGAAGCCGCCAGTCAGTGGTGAAAATACCACGATTATACAGAGAACATTGGAAAATACAGTGTGGTTCGCACAATGTAGAGACCTGTGGAATGAAAGGAGATTTTTACTAACTATGGACAATTTCTGACCTCATTAATACATGTTTTGTTATTATACCCAATGATCCTTAAGTGTGGTTTGGCTGAGGTATGATTGATCTAAGCTTCCCGTCCTTGTTCTCACATCAGTTGTGTAAAACCAAAACATTTGTCCATGGTAGGTGTGGGCAACAGCTTTGGACCTTTTCTCTCAGTGTGGCTTCATGTATCTTGTATTCTGTGGCAGGACATATTGTGGTAAGAGTTAATGGACAGCTGTGCTTCAGCACAGGGGTGAGAAGAGCACAGTAGCTTTCCTCCGAGAGAGGGACCACACCCAGTGTACTTTGCCCCTTTTCCTCTTTGCAACAAGGCAAGAGGGTAGGGGCTGCGAGAGGCACTGGTATTGTCAGAATAGTGGGTGTTCTTTGTATGTTATTTTTGACTGTGTGAAGAAAATTTAAGTATTTCTTGTTCCAGCTTACATGTAGCTAGTAAATTTTATTGTGATCTTCAAATGTATATGAATAAATGGTTTGAAATGCAAGACACTGTCTTAAGTGAAGTAAGGCAGACAGAGTAAGACAAGTAGTATGTATTCTCTGTCTTGTGCCAAAGCTAAACTATTTGACCTGAACGTAGAGTAAGGTTGAAGGGAGTTGGGAAGGGTGTGTGCTCAGGATGGAAGATAAAGGGAGGCTGGATTTGATCTCTGCAGACTACATGGATATGCAGAAAAATCACAAGGAGCCTCATTTATGTATACAACTAATAATGCTAATAAAAATGAAAATAATAACATAAAATAGGATATAGATAAATGGGGCTGTATTGATACCAATCCAACAAAGTGGACAGTCTGTGCCAATTAAAAGACACGATATGAGTTGGGGAAATAGCTCAATGGTAGAACACTTGCCCAGTATGCGCAAGGCTGTGGGTTTGACCCACAGTACTGAAAAAAAAAAAGATAATACATGATAGAAGTGACTTACATTGTCAGAGAAGTAAAGATGGATTAACATGACATAGGAGATATGATAGAAGAAAGGGTCATTTCGGGAAACAACAAAAGCCACTTTCCTTTGGATTCTCTGTATGTGTGACATGGTGTAGGAAGATGATTTACTTCATTCTTATCTGCATACATTGGGTAAGTATTTGGGTTTATCCCATTTTTCATGTAAGACATAGCATGATACACACTGGGCCCAAAGAACAGTGCCTAAAATAGAAGTGATGGGACCAGGATGGAAGACACACACTCTTCCTCCCAAATTCAATCTTCACTTGAAAAAAAATCTGTCTAAAAAAAGATTCAGTAGCCTCCTTTCCTATATTGTCTTTAATATGCAACAGCCTTGCCAATAATCCACACAAAAATTCTCAACAAATGCGTGACTTCTCTCCAATCGAAAGTACCATTTTAAAAACCATATTCATCATCCCAATCTTCGCTACCCACCTTTGTTGAGTTTTTTATCGGATGATCACTGTGTCTCTGCAGCTTTTAATATTAACCTGTAATATATCCAAAGTCAAGTTAGCTATACATGATCAGTAACAACATCTCAATTTACTCTGCATAACCTTAATCTGTGCTAGCAATTTAATGTTTTCACATATTTCATTCGATGTTGAAACTCTAGCTAAAAATAGTATGCTATCTGGCATATAACGATGAGTCACAGTTTATGAAGATTTTGTTTGTGAAGGTAAAGTGTCTTTGGGGATCCTCTTGCTCCATTTTCAGAAAAGCAAGAGCAGACTCAGGGAATCACATCTTTCAGGCCCTTCTACTATGTCCCTGTTTCATGTTCAAAGCCCTTAGCCTCAGCTCAATGTAAGAATGGCGGAGGAAGCGGGGTTGGACAAGAAAGTGAATTTAAATGTTGGATTCCAGCTTTTCTGATGCAGTTTCAAGGGGAGTTATTAAAATGTTAGCAAAACACACATGTGCATGGGCCTGCATGCACACAAGGACAAGTTTTGGTTGGTGTCCAAAGTCTGTAGAGGCCATAGAAGAATCAGTCTGGTCCTTATCATCAGTGTTATTCCACTGTGGCCCTGCCTCACATCTTAGTCCCTTAGTCCCAGGCCTATTAGGAGATATAGGCAAAGGAATATTATTGAACCAGGAAGTGGTAGTCAAGTGGCCATTTCCACTTCTGGGGAAGGGGTTCCAGAGGGAGTTATTAAAATGTTGCAAATGCATATGAAAGTGTGTAAACACACAAAGGTCCATGACGGAAAAATCCATCTTTGATCTGTGTCCAGGGTATCTAAGGGCAAGAGGGACAATGAATCCCCTTAGACTAAGTTCAATCAATTCTTTGTTGAAACATGTCAAACAATGGACCTAAAATCTTTCCAATGTGGATTTTCAAGTTTTGAAAAGTATAAAGGAGGATCTATTTGATCATACATGTTTGTCACCGGGATTAGGCTGTGAAGAAGCCAGAAGGAGAGAACTAGACCTGAGCACTTTCTGTTCACTTCATCTCTAAGCAGAGAGTCGTTACAACTCCCTGAGCCTGGATGCACACCTGCAAAGCATGAGAGAAATGATCAGTTCCATATTGAATGGTTCACTCTAGACAGCTAGACAGAGCTAACTTTACATGTAGCTAGATGGCCAAGTTGGTAAAATTGTTCTCACAGTAGTATTTCATATTAGTGCAGTTTACTGGTCTGAAGAACAGGAGCAGAACAAAACAGAGTCCTGAAGTTTAAATAGGCATTCTTTGGTGCTACTTTGAAGGCCATGATATCTGACTGCAGAGACCCAGGATTGAGGGAACCCTTATCTCTACCCTGTCTCGGTCATATTACACTATTTTAAATGAAAAGCAGCAGATACGAAGAGGGAGAAAGTCTATACATCAAAGAGATAATTATGTAGCTTGCCAAAATGTCTTAAGGTGAATGAATAATTCAATGCAGTGTGCAAGATCTCCAGAATGATGTATTAAACACATAAAACAATTGAGAGGAGCTTTTGGACAATGCACTAAATTTTGCTCAAGAGGTATCTGAATCTCCGTGGGAACATTTTTGCATACAATAGAATTTAAAGAATAAAATAAGACCAGGGGTGAATATGGGCCTAGGAAGCAGAAACTGACATTCACCTGAGAAAAGAAATTAGTAGTTACAGGAACTCTCTTACTTTTAACATATTTCCAAAATAAAGAAAGTTAAAACCATACTATTCGCTACAAATATTATTGAGTAACTTCTATGTGCTAGGCACTTTTAGATTATCAGATACTAGAGAATAAAATCCTTACCCTTGTGGTGCTTACATTCTCACAGGAAGATACAGATATTTAACAAAACAAACAAAATTTTTTAGATTATTTGAGGTGGTCAAAAGAGAAACAAGGCAGGATAAAGAATAGGAAGTAACATTAGCAGTGTGCAGTTTCTAAAATGAGAAGAGGAGGGAATGTGTGGTTAGCTCTTGGAAGGAAAAGGTGGCGAGTATGACTGAGGTGGGGTCCATATGGAGAATTATATGATAAGGGAGTTGGGGGCAACTCTACTTGGGTCGTGTAGCTGTGTGTGTTCGTTAGTGTAAGGGTTCCT